CACAAAACTAATAGGCAACCAACGGAATGGGAAAAGATAGTTGCAAATGACATATCAGATAAAGGGTTAATATCCAAAATCTATAAGGAACTCACCAAACTCCACACCCGAGAAACAAACAACCCAGTGAAGAAATGGGCAGAAGATATGAACAGACACTTCTCCAAAGAGGACATCCAGATGGCCAACAGATACATGAAACGATGCTCAGCATCCCTCCTCATCAGGGAAATACAAATCAAAACCACACTGAGATACCACCTCACGCCTCTTAGAGTGGCTAAAATGAGCAAATCAGAGACCTCTAGATGCTGGTGAGGATGTGGAGAAACGGGCACCCTCTTACACTGCTGGTGGGAATGTAAACAGGTGCAGCCCCTCTGGAACACAGTGTGGAGGTTCCTCAGGAAATTAGCAATAGAACACCCCTATGACCCAGCAATAGCACTGCTAGGAATTTACCCAAGGGATATAGAAATGCTGATGCATAGGAGCACATGGACCCCAATGTTCATAGCAGCACTCTCCACAACAGCTAAAACATGGAAAGAGCCTAAGTGTCCATCAACAGATGAATGGATCAAGAAGATGTGGTTTATCTATACGGTGGAATACTACATGGCAATGAGAAACAATGAAATCTGGCCATGTGTAGCAACATGGATGGACCTTGAGGGTGTTGTGCTGAGCGAAATAAGTCAGGCAGAGAAGGTCAAATATCATATGTTTGCACGTATAGGAGGATTAGGAGGTACTTAACAGAGGACCATGGAGGAGAAGAAGGGGGAAATTTTGGGGGAAAGGGAGAGAGGCAAAACATGAGATACTCTTGAATGGTGAGAACAAACTAGGACTTATGGGTGTGGGGGGAGGAGGGGGGCGATGGGCATGGAGGAGGGCATTGGGGGGATGAGCACTGGGTGTTATACGGAAACCAACGTGAGAATAAATAATAATAATAATAAAAAAATAAAAGAAGGTTAATGTAACAAACTCTACAATTAATGTATGCTGGACTCCAGTTCTTCTTTCAGTACCTTTAAAACACATACAATTATATGAAATAAAATTATAATAATGTACTTTTGGGTATATAACATAATTAGATACAGTATGTGCAACCATAATGACACAAAAAGGAAAGAACAAAAATGGAGCTATATAGAAGTAAAGTTTTTGTATTTCCTTAGAATAAATTTGAAGAAATTTTGATAAGATGTATATTTTAAGGCCTACAAAACCACAGAGGAAATAACTAAAAAACTACAATTAAATAATTTTGATGTAAGGGGCACCTGGGTGGCCTAGTCAGCTGGTGTCCGACATAACCTCACAGCTTGTGAGATCGATCCCTGCATTGGGCTCTGTGCTGACAGGTCAGAGCCTGGAGCCTGCTTCTGATTCTGTTTCCTCCGTCCCTCTCCATCCCTCCCTCATCCATGCTTTCTCTCTCTCTCTCTCAAATAAACATTAAAAAGAAAAAAATTTTAAATAATCTTGAAGTAAAATGTTACACTAGAAAATATCCACTTAATGTAAAAGAAGGCATGGCCAACTAATCTCTGACAAAGCAGGAAAGAATATCCAATGGAACAAAGACAGTTTCTTCAGCAAGTGGTACTGGGAAAACTGGACAACGACATGCAGAAAAATGAACCTGGACCACTTTCTTACACCATAAACAAAAATAAACTCAAAATGGATGAAAGACCTAATCGAAAATCCTCGAGGAGAAAGCACACACAAACCTCTCTGACCATGGCCGCAGCAACTCAACATGTCTCTGGAGGCAAGGAAAACAAAAGCAAAAATGAACTACTGGGACCTCATCAAAATAAAAAGCTTCTGCACAGCGAAGGAAACAATTGGCAAAACTAAAAGGCAACCAATGGAATGGGAGAAGATATTTGCAAATGACGTATCAGATAAATGGTTAGTATCCCAAATTATAAAGAACTTATCAAACTCAAAAAAATAAATAATCCAGTGAAGAAATGGGCAAAAGAAATGAACAGACCCTTCTCCAAAGAAGACAACCAAATGACCACCGACACTAGAAAAAAATGCTCAACATTAGTCATCATCAGGGAAATACAAATCAAAACCACAATGAGATACCACTGATATGCTGTTTCAAAGGGGCACATGCACCCCAATGTTTACAGCAGCACTCTCAAGAATAGCCCAAGTATGGAAAGAGCCCAAATGTCCATCAATGGATGAATGGATAAAAAGATGTGGTTATGTATATATATATACACAATGGAGTATTAATTGGCAAACTAAAAGAATGAAATCTTGCCATTTGCAACAACATGGATGGAACTAGAGGGTATTATGCTAAGAGAAATTAGTCAGAGAAAGACAAAGATCATATGACTTCACTCATACGAGGACTTTAAGATACAAAACAGATAAACATAAGGAAGCAAAAATAATATAAAAACAAGAAGGGGGACAAAACATAAGAGATTCTTAAATATAGAGAACAAACAGAGGGTTGCTGGAGGGTTTTTGGGAGGGAAGATGGGGTAAGGACATTAGGAACTCTACTCTTGAAACCATTGTTGCACTATATGCTAACTAACTTGGATGTAAATTAAAAAATCAATAATTTTTTAAAAATATAAAAAAGGCAATAAAGGAGGAAAAAACAAAAACATCTCTAAAAAACAAACAGTATAATGGCAGAAAGTGAAGCGTCTGACTCTTGACCTCAGCTCAGGTCAAAGACAAAAAGGCAGAAAGTGAAAGGATGGAAAAAAGGTATACTATACAAACAGTAAATAAAATACTCTTGGAATGGTTATATTAGTAACAGACAAAATAGATTTTAAGACAAAAGTTACTAGAGCGAGGGAATGACATTTTATAATGCTATTTAAGAGTCAATCCATCAGGAAGAGAAAATAATTATACACATGCATAACAAAAGAGCTAGTACCAAAGGGCATGAAGCAAAAAACTGACAGATTTGTAGGCAAAATAACAATTCAGTAATAGGTGAGGAGACTTCAATACCCCATCTTCAATAATGGATAGAACAACTTGAGAAAATATTAACAAAGAAATATACTTGAACAACACTATATAAAAAAACACCCCAAAACCCCAAAAAACCATAAGCCACCTGACCTAACAGATATCTCAACACCACTAAACACCACAGAATACATATTCTCTTAAAGTACACATGGACCATTCTCCGGAATAGACCATATATTGGTCTATAAAACAAGCCTGAATAAATTTGAAAGGATTAAATTATACAAAGCATGTTCTTGGGGCGCCTGAGTGGCTCAGTCCGTTACTTATCCAACTTCAGCTCAGGTCATGATCTCGTGATTTGTGAGTTCAAGCCACCCATATCAGACTCTGTGCTGAAAGCTCAGAGCCTAGAACTGAATCCATTTTGGATTCTGTGTCTCCCTCTCTCTCTGACCCTTCCCTGCTCATGTTGTCTCTCTCTCAAAAAAATGAATAAAACATTAAAAAAATAAATTAAAAAATGCATGTTCTCTAACCACAATGGAATGAAATAAGAAATCACTAATGGAAGAAAAATTTGGAAATACACAAATATGTGGAAATTAAATACTCCTTAATAACTAAAAGAATACATCACAAAGGAAATGAAAAAACTCATTGAGATGAATGAAAACAAAAATGTAGCATATTAGAATCTGTGAGATGCAACTAAAGTAATGCGCAGAGGAAAACGTATACCTGTAAATGCCTAGAGTAAAAAGGTTTTCAAACTATGGCCGCCCCCCCCCCCCAAATACCCAACATTACTCCATCTCTATCATATTATCTTATTTCAGTGCCCGAGACTCTAGTTCCTATGTTTATGCTGTGTCTCCCTACATTAGAAACTTTGTGTTGTTCACTGCCTGGCTATACTAGAGTAATAGCTATACAACAGTACCTGACCATATTGCTTAATAAATCTTTTCTGACTAAAATGAAGCCAACATCTTTCCTTAGAATTATCACTCATATTCATATGATTTTTAACTGTCTCCAAATTTCTGTTCATTTAGCATAGTATTACAACTGACATTTCTACCAATTCATAAGATTCAGGATGCCATCAACATTTTTTATGAAAACTGTAAGTATTACTTCTTTAAACTGTTATCAATTATCAAAAATAAATAACAGAAAAAGAAATCAGTCTTCTTGGACCAATTCAAATAAAAAATTCAGTTTAACTTTGAATATGGGTTTGAACTGTGCAGGTCCACTTAAATGTGGATTTCTTTCAATAAATACACTACAGCACCATAAATATATTTTCTCTTATGACTTAACATTTTTTTCCTCTAGTTTACTTTATTATAAGAGAGCATATAATACTTGTAACATATGAAATATGTTAACTGACTATTATCAGTAAGGTTTTTAGTCAATAATAGGTTATTAATAGTTAAGTTTTGGGGAAGTCAAAAGTTATACATAGTACAGTATAGAGGATATAGTCAATATTGTAATAATGTTGTATGATGACAGTTACTAAGTTTACCATGGTGAGCACTATGTTATATATAGAATTCTTGAGTCACTATATTATATACCTGAAATTAATATAATATTGTATGTTAACTATACTTCAGTAATGAAAAATAGCATTTAAAAAGCGTGAAATTAGGAGGTCTGTACCCCTACCCATGTTGTTCAAAGGTCACCTGTGAAACTAAAATATAATTAACATAAAAGGAAAAATGAAAGGGTTATACAATGGCTAAGCCAACATTCTACTTCTGTGAATTATGGAATAAGAAATCATTTCCCACTTACTTACTTTAATCTTGCAAATTCCAGAGTATTTAAGGCGAGCAGGGAAAAGAAAAATTATACAGATGCTTGAAAGAAAACTATAGTTCCTTAAAACAATCAGAGCATATGTTATCAACAGTAATTTTATCTAGATGATTAACATTTTTCCATGAAATAAAACATTTAAAATTACCAAGGGTATCATGATGAAAGTAACTTACACAGTCTTTTTGTCCTGTCGAAGAAGTTTAGAAGAAAATTCACTTAATACTTCCAGGAAAGCCAGATTAGGAGGTGGATAATCTTGTCCTTTCTGATTTTGGTATTTAAAGGCAAATTCTATGCCATCCCTGGAGTAAAAGAAAATAACACCTTATTTTTCCAGATAAGTTGCGTAGTTCTCTCAATGGGCTAGAATTTCAAAGTAGTTGGGAAGGCAGGAAAATCATCACTGAAGGAAGTAAACTCTGATAAATTCAAAGGGTAAAACAATGTTAATTTGTATGACATATAATCCTAATAATATTCTATCATTTACAGTAGAAAAATATGAGTTGTAAAAAATAATATAAAAAATAGCTGAATAACCACAAAGTTAAATTCCTGTATGTATCCAATAGGGGTAACACAATACCTTGGAAAGGCAATTAGACTGTCAAAAAATTTGCTTCTCAGAGCTGGTCATAAGACCAAGCAGCTGTAGGAAATATTTAAAGGTACGGTATTTAACATTTTCTGTCATTCAGTTTTTAGTTATGAAATAAGGTTGACCAAATTAGTACTGCACAGTGTTTTTAAACCGAAGTCTCCTATAACATCTTCTGACAGACCATCTTTCTTTATAAGATGAAAGAATAGGCAGTTGAATTATTTCTCAAATTCAAAAGGCCCTCCTAGTTGAGAATTGCTAGACTACAGAATCTCTAAAATTATAACTTGAAAATGCTATTATTTGTCACTTTAAAAATGGGTCAGATAACAGGTATTTCAGTTAGAGTCCAGTAAAACCAAATTCTTTATAACAGAAAGGGTTTATTCAGCTCACTCACTTGTGAAGTGTGGCAACTGCTTCTCGTGTCTTGATCTGATCCAGTCCAAATGTAAGGGCAAAACGACGTGCCAATTCTTTAATGCCGCTGACATGGGCAGATGTCCTATCTAGATTGGGACCTTGCTCTTGAACAAGTTCATTAAACAACTGGTTGAAATAAAAAAGAAAGAAATAACCTACAGTTAGGAAATATTTATTTCATTTATTATTAGAATAGGTACTATAATTTAAAAATATTTAAAAATTACATGGTAAAATTTCTCTCCTTATATTTACTGTAGTCACACTGTTCCCCTTCTTCAAGTCATCTACCATTACCAATTTTTGAGCTCATTTTCACGCTAGTTTGTGTGATTAAATGCAAATAGGAGTTTTTCTTCTTCTTTTTTTAATTTATTTTGTAAGACAGACAGCACAAGTGGGGGAGGGGCAGAGACAGAGAGAAAGAGATAGAGAATCCCATGAAGGCTCCATGCTGCCAGAGCAGAGCTTGATGTGAGCTTGATGTCATGAAACTGTGAGATTATGACCTGAGCCAAAACCAAGAGTCTGACACTTAACCAAATGAGCCACCCAGGTGCCCCAGGAATTTATTTCTTTTTAACAAATTAATATATTATGGGCTGGGGGAAAAGATACATGTTTATAGACATATACTTTATATTCATAAATGTATTCTTTTTGTTGTTTCATAAGGATGGCAATATGATATGTAGGGTTCAGAATTTTGTTCTTTTTACTTACTATATCTTAGACAAGAACATTATCCAAAAGAAGACATTTGGATATATGGGGTGATTTTTCCTACCCAGAAACAAAATATATAAAAAGTTTTTAATCTGGGTAGAGGAATTTTATGAATTACAGAGACATTACATATACTGTATCAAAATTAACAACAACCAAATAAATCCTGGAGTACTAAAGAATATAAAAGCTATCATCATTCTACCACCAAGGTTAGAAACTTAAGTTTATCTGTACACATTTGTCTTCCCTATTATGAGATATGAATAGTCCAGGCTTTCATCCTAAGCCATTCACTACTTATTTACTAGATCTCACTCCATTTTACTTATTTAGCAATTTTGCTCTTATTCTTACGGCTCTGTCCTGCATCCTTAACTATTCCCTGTCTACTAAATGCACACATCTTAAAAAAGAAAACAAATACAAAAAAACATAACTCTATCTCCTATGTCAGCTATCAACACATTGTTTTGATTCTCTTTATGGCAAAGATCCTAAAAAAGATTGTTTATATTTGTCTTCTTCACTTCCTCACTCCGAATCTCTCAATTGACTCTAATCATACCATCCCATTGAAATGACTCATCTAGTAATTATGTTGCCCACTTTTTAAGTTTTCTTCAGCAACAGATTGGCTAGAACTATATACAGTGCCATGACTAGAAACAGCAGTTCTTCAAAAGATTTTAAAATTTATTCACAGATAATTATAAATTTTTAAACTTCAAAATGATTTCAGAAATGGTTGTACACAATAGCCTTAAATTTTAAAATTTACACTTGAATAAAAAGAATCTATCTCTGTGCAAAATTCAAGTAATATAAAAATAAAAGTTCTCCGTGGAAACTAATTTGACAATAAACTATTTGTAAAAAAAAAAATAAAAGTTCTCCTTCCTCTGTCCCACGAAATATTCTTCTCTCCAAAGGTAATTTATGTTAAAATTTCAAGGTTTTCTAGACTAGTTTAGACACATCAATATATCACATATACAAAACTTCTAATATAAATGGTACTATACTATACTGTCCTGAAACTTGCTCCTTCTCCCCCGCACCCCACTCTTTCAAGTTTTCATTTAAATTCCAGTTAGCTAACATTGGGTGTAATATTAGTTTTAGGTGTAGGATTTAGGGATTCATCACTTACATACAATACCCAGTACTCATCACAACCAGTGCCCTCCTTAATACCCATCACCCATTTAACACTTCACTTCACTCTAACCGCCTCCCCTCCATCAACCCTCAGTTTGTTCTCTATTGTTAAGAATCTGTTTTGTCTCTTAAATTCCACATATAAGAGAAATCATATGGTATCTGTCTCTCTCTGACTTGTTTCGCTTAGCCTGACAGTCTCTAACTCCATCCACATTGCTGCAAATGACAAGATTTCACTCTCTTTTACGGCTAAGTAATATTTCATTGTGTATATGTGTGTATATATACAAACATACCACATCTTCTTTATCTTATTCATCAGTTGATGGACATTTGGGCTCTTTCCATAATTAGGCTACTGCAGATAGTGCTGCTATAAACATCAGGGTGCATGTATCCCTCTGAATTAGCATTTTTGTATTCTTTAGGAAAATACCTAGTGTGCAAGTGCTGGTTACAGGGCAGTTCTATTTTTAACTTTTTGAGGAACCTCTGTACTGTTTTCCAGAATGGCTGCACCAGTTTGCATTCCTACCAATAGCGCATGAAGGTTCCCCGTTCTCCTAAACTTGCTATTTTTCACATAATAGTTTGTCTTCAAAATCTTTTAGCTACTTCAGAGTTTCACACTTTAACCATTCTTCTGCCGAATCTCCAATTTTTCAATATTATAGACTGCTGCAATAAAACATCTTTTATATATATATCTTTTTGTGTACCTGCATGTACCTGTATAGATACCTAGCAGCAAAAAAGTGATTTTTCAAAGGAATATTTATCTTCAAGTTTGATATATTCTGCAAAACTGCCTTTCAAGAAGGTAATAGCAATTTCTTTTTTTAATTTTTTAAGTTTACTTTACTTAAAGTAAAAAAAGAGAAAGAGAGCAAGCTTGGGAGGGACAGAGAGAGAGAATCCCAAGCAGGCTCTGTGCTGACAGTCATGTGGGGCTCGAACTCACAAACTGTGAAAAAATGACTTGGGCTGAAATCAACAGTCGGATGCTTACCCGACAAGTGAGCCACCCAGGTGCCCTGGCAATAGTAATTTTTTTCACAAGGGACCCTTTTTCTCCACATCTTTATCAATCACTGGTATTAACAATGATTTAAATTCATACTAATCTATCCATCAGTGATAAATATCTTTGCTTCAATTTGTATTTCATCAATTGTTAACACATTTTTTATAATGTTTTATTTATTTTTGAGAGACAGAGAGAAACACAGCATGAGCAGGGGAAGGGTAGAGAGAAAGGGAGACACAGAATCTGAAACAGGCTCCAGGCATGAGCTGTCAGAGCCCGACATGGGGCTCTGACTCACAGACTGAGATCATGACCTGAGCCAAAGTCAGATGCTTAACCAACTGGGCCACCCAGGCACCCTTCATTAATTATTAATGAAGCTATGGCTCTTTTCATAGGGTTATTGGTCTACAATATTTCTCTTCTGAAAAGCAGCTTTGCATATCCCTTGCTCACTTTTCTAAGGGATTTATTTTTGTTACTGATTTGTAGGATTTTTTATATATGATTGAAAATATTTCCCCCAACCTGTCATTTGTTTTTTAACTTTGTTCCTAGAGCGGGTTGACATATAAATGTTTATATATACAAACCTACCCCTTGAAATCTCTGTCTTAATTCACTAGGCATTTATTAGGGACTCTTATTTATATAAGTGACTTATTTTCTTATTTGAATTCTATTCTTGCCCTTTCTTCATTAAATATATTTAAAATATATTTATGTATTTTTCTTTTTAGATGATTACTTTTTAAAATATCCATTTGCATTTCATCTGGTCCAAGAGTGGATAACTTTAGGATTTCATTTATTTGAAATTTTTTTGTAATGTTTTATTTATTTCTGAGAGAGAGAGAGAGAGAGAGAGAGAGAGAGAGAGAGAGAGAGACAGCGTGAGCAGGGGAGGGTCAGAGAGAGAGAGAAGGAGACACAGAATCTGAAACAGGCTCCAGGCTCTGAGCTAGCTGTCAGCACAGAGCCCAATGCAGGGCTCAAACCCATGAACCGTGAGATCATGACCCGAGCTGAAGGCAGATACTTAACCAACTAAGCCACCCAGGCGCCCCATGGATTTCATTTATTTGAAATGTGAACTATAAGATTATCTCCCAAAAGAAAAGACACATAACACATGTTTTGGTACCAAAAATTTCCATAGTAATGTATTGATACCATGACCTAGTGTAAATCAGGTAAAATATACCTAGTACATACTAAGCATATAAAAGTGATCAATAACATTAATTCTAATCTTTATCTCTTTCCTTTAGATTTCTTACCTGCTGTAAACTGAGAATGAGGGTCTTGGCACACTGAATTTTATCAATCTGCCTGGTTTTACTCAGTGTTTCCTTAATAATATCACCATAGTCATTGTAATACTATGAGAAAAAGAAAGAAAACACAGCTTTAAAGTTATTGAAATTTCATGAGACAAAGACTAGATTGGTGAAAAAAATGGAAGGGGGAGTTCAGAGGTGTTTAATTTCTTCATCTTAAACATAATGAGAGATAAAAGATATTGTCTAAAGTTAAAGGAATACACATTTGATATTTAAGATTAATATCTTAATCTTAAGTGAAAGTTAATGATAAAACTGAAAAGCTGAGGATTCCAGGAGGAGGGGAAGTGACATAGGTAAACAAAATTCCTTATTCGCTGTAATAGGAATTCAATAGACACCACTTAAAAGGTGACAAATCAACAACAGAACTCTGGTAGAAACTTAGCAAAGAACTAAAACCAAAACAGTTAAAACTGCTTACCTCTGGGGAGTGGGCATAAATAAGTGGGAAGGGCAGATTAGGGTAATAGACTTAAGTTTAAATACTTTTTTGTTCTATCTCATTCCCTGCCCCCATCACATGGGTGTATTTTACTATTACAATATAAAAAGTAAAAACAATGACTTCTCCAATAGTGACCAAGAAGAATTTAACTAATTTCTTTATAATTCAGCTTTTTGATACAGGATTTAAAAAATTTTCCTTGTGAGTAAATAATTTAAAAAAGCCATTAAATCTGGAAGTTATTTCCAAGTGAAAGCATAAAAATCTACAACTTCTGCTAAGAAGTGATGTATTAGCTTGGCAAGTGGATTTTTATAATTTTCAAAAAGATGGGTATGCTTCTATGATGTGGGGTGCAAAAAATATAAAGATATAATAATACACTAAAGAAGTGGTTCAACAGGCAGATCTCTAATAAATTCAAATTTGTAATGGTCATATAGAGAACTGGGGCAAAAAACTACATACCTAATAAGGGTATATAACAAAGAGTAGCAAATAACTATTAGAATACTCTCAAAAAGATTACAGCTTATAATTAGCAGAAGTACAAAAATTGCTAACGATGATAATAAATTTTAGATAAGGCTAATTTCTTGAAACCAATACAGTATTATTAAGGTATGAAAAGGAAAAACCATGGTACACTCGTATTTATCTATCCAAACGTAATGTTTAGACATTATGTGTGGAAGCCATCTCAGATTCCTTTCACTTAGGTCTCTCTCTCTATCCTATGTTTGCTTTGTAATTTGTGTATCTATCACTACAATAATTGTGCTGAGGCTTTATGAACCAGTGGGAAGAGCTAAGCTTGGAAGCTAGACAAACCCAGAATCAAAATCCAGTTTTTGCTATTTAAAATAGTTATGTGACCTTGGAAAGTTACTTGACCTCTTTGAGTCTTAATTTCCTTATCTGTAAATGGTATTTCCTACCTCACAGGATTACTGTTATCAACAAACATAATGAAAAAGCCTTCGAACAGTATCCCATATATAAATGGTACAGAACATATGCAGACACTCATTATTACATTACATTATATTATGTTTGCATTTCAGTTTCTTTATTAACCTGTAAGCTCCTTTAGTGCAGAAATCATGTTTTATTTAAATCTCTGGCTATTAACACATGTTCACACTGGACTTGTTCAGCAAAATGTGATGAATTACTGTATCTAACCAGAAATGGACTATAACTAAACATGGATAAAGATACAAGTGGGTCAATGGCACACACAATATTCTGAACATGAGCAAAACAAAACACTATCTGACAGGAGAACAAAGTAAAAGCACATAAGCTGAGAAGTCTGCCTGTCATAAAGATTTCTGAGCAATGCTGTTTTAGAGGGTCAGGGACAAAATGGAGCTTAAAAAAAAAAAAAACAGCCAGGGAGGTGAGTACCTACCAAAATCCTGTCATATGAAGAATGGTTTAAAACCCTTCAGCATTTCCTTACCAACCTCAGGAAAAAATTCAAGCTTCTCACACAGCATATAGTCACTAATAACACTTTCTTTAAATCTTACCTCTTGCTCAACTTTCATAAGCAATCCATTTTGTTACATCAAATTACTTGCATTTCCCCCAAAGAATTCACATTCCTTTGTCTGTGCATGAAGTTCCATCTGCCCACAGGTCCTCCCACTACTTCTTTGCTTACTAATTTATGCTTAGTGTCTTAGACTTAGTTCAGAAGTCTCTTCTAAGCAGTTTCCATTAACCCTTATATTTCTTTAGATACCAGTATCTGTTTTATGTATTTCCAGGAACCCCTATACATACCTTGATTATATATAATACAATTGTCTAATTGCTGACAGTCTTCAGCTTTAGACTACTTTAGAACAGGAATTTAAAAAATCTTTGTAACTTTAATGTCTGGCAGGAGGCATGGTATATAGGAGGCATATGTAAAAAATGTCTTGAAGAGATGTCACAAGAAAGAGAGATTAGATTTCTTCCATGTTACCAAGAGAATCTATAGAGTTTCATGGAAATAAAAAGGTGTTTTTTCAATAAATGTGAGCATCTCCCCCTTATGGGGTTGACAGAATGAAACAGATTGACAAAAAGCTTATACTTCTATAAAAGAGAGAAACTTTAAATAGATCAGAAAATCATCAACAATACATAGGTAAAAACTGTCAATATTCTCATCTTTTCATTTCAATTGCAAATTTCTCTGCCACTTAGATGGAAGGAGAAAAATAAAGATATGAAACTATACCTTCATGTAGTGTTTAAAGATGTCTGCAGCTGCATGCATGTCAACAATATCATAAATGATAAGTTTGCTGAAGGCAGCAAGTAGATTCCTTCTTTTATGTAAGGCCTCAATTTTATTAGCTTCATCTTCTTCATCACCCTCTAACCACAGAAAATAAATTGGTTATGAACTTTGGCCCATTATGCAAGGTAAAACAAAATAGACAATCTGTATAATCAAACGCTGGCTTATAACTTTACAAATAGTACAATTCAGTTTTAGGTAAGATAAAAATATTAGTTAAACTGATCATTTTAGGGTGCTATATTTAGTTACACTTATTATATATTTAGTAGATACCAAGGTTCCTATTTTTCAAGGGACTGTCACAGCAAAGACTGCGTTAAGATAAGCAAAGCATACATACACTCTTTTTCTGATATTTTTATCATAGTAATACTGCTGTCTGTCAACCTTAAAAATGCTAGCTCTTCACATTTCAATATTCTCTACATGTATTAGCTATATTTCAACAGAAAAGAAATTTCTGGAAATGTTTAAGGAACAGGGAAAAAAGGTTTCTTTTAGAAAGAAGGGAGTAATGGAAATACATGGAGGCGTTAGTTTTCAGTGCCTATCTTAAACATGGTTACATTATCAGCATGAAATATATTTTGTAAACCATTTATGCATATATACATTTTTAAAAACAAAGTTTGCTATCAAATACTTTCCAAAGGAGAAGTGTTTCTTCTTCAGTTTTTTATTTCTCAGGTCCCACTGGCTTCTCTATTTTGATCCCAGAAAAATTTTTTCACAAGGCTCCAGATGTTAACATGTTATTATGTTTGCTTTAGGCTCTGTACTGACTCTCCCATGTCTTGGCCTGCCCTTACTTGGGGAGTGTTCTTTCTTTCCTTCTTCACATGTATATATTGATAAAAGAAATTACTCAACTTTTCTCTTCCCTTTCCATTAATGACTCCTGCTGTGAAGTACCAAAGTTTCGAGAAGTTGGAAATCTTTTTGCTTAAGACAAGTAGTAGGTAAATTTTATCTCCTGTGATTAAAATGGACTCTCGAGATTGTTTCACAATTGAGTATTTTCTAAAGTATTCTGTTAAGTAAAGAACACTCTAATAGCACCAGATACATCTGCAGATCAGATATGCTACAGATCTTAAACAGCTGAAATCATCTATTTCACAAATATCATGTGTAACACTTATTTACAATTATTTATATTCAGCCTGATTATGCTACGTTATCATTATGCAGGTTCACCATAATTTTGACTGGTAAGGTTTGATAACAGTCTTTTAGCACTTAATATCTTATAATTATATTTTATTAAGTAATATATGATGCTTCTCAGGAATAGAAAGGAACTTGGATACTTTCCTTTAGAAAAATTGTGACATAGTTCAATTAGGAATACATCTATCCTACATACACATTTTACACATGTGGGAAATAAGAAATGTACACATTTATTGTAGTATAATTTATAATAGCAGAAGACTGGAAACTTGGGGTGCCTGGGTGGCTCAGCCTGTTATATGTCTGACTTTAGCTCAGGTCATGATCTCATGGTTCGTGAGCTCAAGCCCCACCTTGGGCTTTGTGCTGACAGTTCAGAGCCCGGAGCCTGCTTCAGATTCTGTCTCCCTCTCTCTGCCCCTCCCTTGCTCACGCTTACTCGTGCTCTCTCTAAAAATGAATAAACATTAACAAAAAAATAAAAAATAAAAGATTGGAAACTTGCCTAACATCAATCAGTATGAGATGGATGACATAAATTATGCTATAAACATGAAATACTATGTAGCTGTTGGAAAAAGAATAAAGAAGCTCGTATGTAGTGACAGGGAAAGACCTTTGGGGTACTATAGTAAAGGACGGAGACTTCACTGTGTACTTTATTCTTGTTGGTTCCTAACTATATGAAGGCATTAACTCTTTTTTAAAAGAGAGAAATCCTAGTACTTTTTGGGACTGAATTTGAATTTTTTCCTAATATCTTCTGAGATTGGTAAAAAAAAAAATCAATATTGACAAAATAATAACTACAAATACCCATGCTCTGGTTCTCTTCATCTTGGTCAATGAAAACATGATCCATCACAAAACTGAGGAGTTCAGATTGGAGTCCAGTATCTGGATTAAACACCAAAGGCTGGAGGCCTTCCCTGCCACCTGTCATTAATTGGTGGCTAAATATCATCAGAAGATCACAGAGTAACATAAATGCCTAGAATGCAAAGGGAATTAATTCATCAGTAATGTAATATACAAATATAACTATAACTAGAGATCAATGTTAATGAAAACATAATTAAATGCACTTCAATAACAATACCCTAACAGAAATTGAGTATTTAAATTAGTTTTAATTTCCAAACTTACTGAAACTACGTTTTCTCATTAAATACTAGTCTCATTTAAGACTTTTCCTCCTTAAATATAATCTATATCTTTTACTTGGCTGTATTAACTCAATACATTTAAGAGATTTTGACTTGAACTTATAAAAATGACTTAAATCCAACTTTGGAAATACAAAATTAATAGAATAAATTATGACAGAGGCCAGAAATCAATCATATGCTTCTTAAATAATAAGCATAAATCTTAAGACAAACTGTATCATTCAACAAATTACAATGCAGTACTCTAAACCTTAAAGTTACTATTTAAGGACTCTGCTTTAAAAAATCTAATGTATGGGCATGTGGGTGGCTCAGTTGGTTAAGTGTTCGACTTCAGCTCAGGTCATAATCTCATGGTTCATGGGTTTGAGCTCTGTGTCAGGCTCTATGCTGATAGCGAAGAGCCTGGAGCCTGCTTCGCATTACGTGTCTCCCTCTCTCTCTCTGACCCTCCCCAGCTTGTGCTCTTTCTCTCACTCTCAAAAATAAATAAATACATTAAAAAAAAAAACTCAAGTAAAAAAAAATCTCTTAGTAGGTTTAAAACTGAATTTAAGACCATTTACATACAAACCACTATCTGACAGCTGCCAACAAGTTCAATCACATAAGGGAACTTTCAATACATTTCCCTAAAGAGACAGTTATTATAGTTAATGTGAAATTTGCCCTATTTAATGGATAGTATGAAATAAGTCTGTGTTATCAGTTTACTATAACTGAATGATTTTGTTGCGGGGTAACTGAGGGCTCTGATAACTCGAAGCAATTCACTTACCCTGTTATAAATATTGATTTCTGTGGGAAAACATAATTTTGGTATGTATTTGGAGATGACTACATACTTGGCTGTCTACTTCCAGCAAGAATCATGGCAGTTCATGCTCTGACTACACCATCATGAACTACTAAATATCTATTTAGAAAGAGCCACTTGAAAAGGGGACCATAAAGAGAATCCAGGGGGATACACACACACACACATTTTTTGAATATCACCACGATGATGCAGAAGTAATGAACTTTTGGTTTAACTGTCCTAAGCTAGGTAGTTTTAGACAGCACTCACTGATGGGGTTCAGCAGGTTTAGAGAAGACCATCTCTGTTCCCATTTAAGTTAGATGCTGATAACTTAACAGGATAACTAAGAGATAACTAATAGATGTGATAACCTACTTAGAAGAAGGGATAGCAATGTGTTAAGTACTACAATATTCTAATTAACTTGACATTTTCTAGCCCAACATTATGATGAAAAAAACAATGCAGAAAAAAGTATTCTCTTTTCTATAAAACAGTATATAAAACTACTTACCAACAGAATAGTATAATTAAACAGTTTATTCATCGCTTCATGGAAATACTATTGCATTGGGCTCTGCTTTGACCCTCTTTAGGCTGTGCTGCCCTTCCCAAGGATTGAGGAGTCTGCAGAACCAATGGGATATATCCACCTGCACTCCTACTATCCAGGCTCAAGGACTCATGGATTCTTTACCCTAAGAGACCTGCTTCTGCACAGCCCTCTTCTCTGGGTATACTATAACATTTGTGTGTGTACTCCCAGGTCCCAGGTGGCTGTTTGAGGGGATGATGTTGACAGAGTTTGGATATGTGGGCTGAAGTGTTTATATGCATGTGTGAGAAGTTCCTTCTGGTGTGATGAGAAGAGGGTGCGGTTAGAACACAGTTGACCACAGGCCAGTTTCAACCCTCCCAGTTTTGGGATAAAATTCCCAGGAGTCAGGTTATTATGATAGTGTACTTGTCAGATAAAAAAACATACAACAAATTTGTTAGCTTGCTTTGTTAAGTTAAATATTCAGACATCCATACTTTTATCCCAGGTTCCATAAATGTTAGGAATAGACCTGTATGTTAAGAACGGTCATAAAAAATTTACATTTTCTTACGTTTTTTGATGCATTTAGTTATTTTTGTTAGGCACTCTTAACTGATAATCTCTTACCTGTTCCTTCACTGGAGTATTAACATTAGATAGACACTGCTGGCAAACAGCCAAAAAGGATTTCACTGTTTTCCTCAATACCAACAAATCCTCCTGCAAGACACATTCAAATTTGCAAACATGAATTACAATATCCTATAAACCTGATCCAGACAAATTAATAAATGGAAAATAGCCAACTGGTTTACTGTTAAGGAAATCCATAAAACCAAATTTATTGTTGGGAAACAAATCATATGGTTATTTCCTATTTATCCTACTGGAAGGGGCATAATCCCAAACACTCAATTCTATTTAGCTATGGAATGCTCAGTATGATTTCCTCCAACATATTTTCCTTTATAAATATGGTTCACTTGGGTTAATATTAAAATTGGTAGTCATTCCAAAATACATACTACTTGGCAGTGAGGGGACAGAGCAGCACACTGAAAAAAATCAGTTAAGAACAAATGTGCCCTGAATTTCCCCCATATTCTCAGCACTCTTCAAAATGTCAAGAGAAGAAAAATAAATGTTTTTTAAGAAAAATAATTTTAAAACTGTCCATGCCCTCCAAGAGTTAACATCCAAGCAGGGAACACTTACACAGAGTAAGTGTTCAATTTTTTCTGTATTAACTCTAATTGTAGCAGAGAGAGCTGAGCTGAAGGGATTTTTATAAGAGGATGGGCTTTAATTTAAAATTGAATGAGTGAACAGGATTTAACTAGATGGCCATATAATATTCAATGTGAAATATTTAAAAAGTATACAAGGAAATTTAAATTTATCAAGCACCTAAATGTGTCAGGAACTGTTACAGGGCTTACTGTTACATAATCTAACACGTATATTGATTAGTAGTAGTCATTATTAGCAAGAGTTGGAAGCCGGGACTGTTTGATATCAGAGCTCATAGTCTCACTAATGAGGAAGACACACGAGATAACTCAATATTACATCGATATTTAAAACAATAATGAAGAGTAATTAAATCAGGCTGATGTAGAAATCACTTCTAAAAAGTACTCTAGTACTAAAGTTCTTAAAGCTACTCTGTACAGATGACAGTACCAATTCCTTTTGGGGATCTTCACATCCCAAATAAGGATAGTTAAAAAATTACACACATTTCCTTTTGCTATATTGGGTGTAGTATCTGTAAGAAGAAATAAAGTCATTTTGTGCAGAATAGTAAAAAGAATACTGTCTTGAAAACCTTTAATCTTCCTGCAGATGAACATCCAATAACCAAAACTCAACATTCTTTGACCTCTAATTTCAAAGTTTCATTATACATTAGGGGAAACAGAGAAGAGAGGAGTCAGCTGCAATAGAATGTAAGAGTACTATGTTGGAAAGCCTAATCTAGAGTCAAAAGTAGTCACAGAAGGGGTCCCAAAGAAGATAACATGTAAGCTGATCTATGAACAACCACCAAAATTTATCCAGCTATAGAGAAAAAGGTATCCCAGAGGGCACAAAATGTTCAAAAGTCTGAACATGCTTTTGAGAGGTTGTTAATTTATTGTGGCTGGGACACAAATAGGGAGGAGAGTGGCAAGAGAGAAAGGTGAAGAGGAAAACAGGATCCATTTCCATTTAACTGGGAGATCATTTAAAATTCCATGTTGAATCATGTGGTTATTATCCTACTGGCAATAAAGAATTACTGTAGAAGAGTTTTCATTATGAGAGTGCTACAATTTTGTTTTAAAGAATAATATTATAAGCAGAATGAAAAATGATATATAATACGGAGGCTAGTTAATTATAAATACAATCTTCTGCTGAGTGCTAATTATGTACTAAGTACTGTGGTCTATGGGCCATAAATTTAAATCTCACAATCACCATATGAAGTAAGTGTTGATATTCTTTTTTTACCAATGAGGAAACTGAACTTCAGAACATCCATGGATTCTTTTTTTTTTTTAATGTTTTATTTATTTCTAGGAGAGAGAGAGAGACAGCGTGAGCAGGCAAGGGTCAGAGAGAGAGGGAGACACAGACTCTGAAACAGGCTCCAGGCTCTGAGCTGGCAGTCAGCACAGAGCCCGACGCGGGGCTCGAACCCACGAACCGCGAGATCATGACCTAAGCGAAAGTCGGACGCTTAACCGACTAAGCCACCCAGGCGCCCCGAACATCCATGGATTCTAAGTGATAGGGTAAGGATCCAAACATAGGGTTATCTGACTCTTGTGACTCTAATGTTGTCCATGCTCTTAATCATTCTTCTATGTTTCCTTACATATTAACAAAGGCCATAGAAATAATTTAGAATGAGGGCCTGAAAATAAAATGTTGGCAGTAAAGATGTGAATAGACTGAAGAGAAATTAAAGCAGCAGCATAGAATTTAGGAACTAATCAGAATGGGGGCTGCGGCTATATCCTAAATTTCCAGATAGTCACCTACTAGGTGGATTATGGTGTATATCACTGAAATAGTAATAGTTCAGTTTTAGAGATGATGATCTGAAATCCATGAAAAATATCCTGATGTTTAGTAGGCAGTTGAATATAGGAGTTCAAAGGCCATGGGAAAGAATTTAATCAAGAATAAAGATTTAGGAGTCCTCTGCATTTAGATGGCAACAAAAGTGACGGAAGTAGATGAGATCACTCAAGGAGGATATGTAGAGAAGGTGGACAAAAGCATCTTGGGAACACCAACATTTAATGAATGATAAAGAAGAGCATATGAAGAAATCTAAGAAATGGTATGAGTAGGAATAAAAACCATAAGAATATGGCATATTCTGGAAAGAAAACATTAAAAAAATGATTTTCTAAAAAATGTTTACTTATTAAAGTTTATTTATTTTGAGAGAGGGCATGAGCAGGGGAGGAGCAGAGGGAGAGGCATAGAGAGAGAAAATCTCAAGCAGACTCCAAGGCTCAAATTCACAAACCATGAGATCATAACCTGAGCTGAAATCAACTGTCAGAGGCTTAATCAACTGAACCACTCAGGCATGCCTAAACATTTATTTGTTTTGAGAGAAAGGGTATGCACGCGTGTGAGTGGATGGAAGGCACAGACAGGAGGCGCAGAGAGAGAGAGAAAGAGAGAGAGAGAGAGAGAGACAGAGAGAGAGAGAGGAAGAGAGGCAATCCTAAACAGGCTCCATGCTGTCAGCACAGAGCTAGACGTGGGGTGTAATCTCACAAACCATGAGATCATATCCTGAGCCAAAAACAAGAGTTGGATGCTTAACCCACTGAACCATCCAGGGGCCCCAAAATATGTTAAGGAAAAAAAAACATTAAAAAATGGAGGTAGTAATTTAATAGTGGCAAACGCCATAACAGAAAAGACAAGCTAAGGATTAGAAAGTATCCCATAAACCAATGATGAGGTTGTGAGTGACCTTGGGGAGAAAACTTTCAATGGAATTAAAAGGGCTTCAGTTTGACTACAGTGGAAATCTTCCATTTCCTTGAATGAAAGAAAAAGAAGCCAACTCTTTCAGGAAAGTTTGTAGAGAGTGAAAAAAAAAAAAAAGGGATGGCTGCTGGAGTGGTCTTTTGAGGTTGACAGAGGATTTCCCTCACCTTGGTTTTTGTTGATCTTTTTAGTAGAAAAAAATTGACGATGTTTGCTGAATAAATAACTAAAAGAAAAACAAAAAGCAAGCCATACTACTGACTGGCTACATGATCTTAATCAATTATTTTATGTCTCAGGATTAAAGAATTTAAAAATCTATAAACAAGACAGCTGAACTAGAGATTCTATGGTACTTTGTGATTCTGCTGAATTCACTCATAGGCACTCAAATGAGAACATACAGGTGCTAGGTGGTAAGCCTCCCAGTATTCAAAGGATGAATGCTCACTGTTCCATTGCTAGTACCTAGAATAGTGGTTGGCACAGGGCAGGTGTTTAATAAATATTTACTGAATGAAATTCAAGTATACATAATACAGATGATATCACAATCCTAGGGTCAATGTGTAATATTTTCATTTTATCAAACTCTAAACAGTTTTAAAAAAATGATGCTAGGAGGTAGTAATGCTCCTTTATTTCCTTAAGTTCCTTGGTTGTGTGCAAAGAAACAGTCTAGGGAATCAGCTTTCTTTGGAGTTGGAAGCCAAATATTCCTTTAAAGGTCAGTCATAAAACAGATGTGTCTTATGTAATGGTAACTTGCCAATTCTTTTGAAGAATTGTAAATTTAATATCACAACTAAGTAAGCAACCTACCAATGACTAGTCAGTAGAAATATTTTGATAAGAAACTGGAAATGGGGAGCAACAAGAAAATAGAAGCTAAATGCCTTTAGCAGTAAAGTTTGGACTCAATTTGGACGCAACTTAAATACTACGTGAGTGCTCAAGAAAGTTAATTTAATTGTAGTCAGTTAGATTACATTAGGAGAAATATAAATACCAATAGGTTTAGGTAAATGGGCAGAGATACTGTATATTTTAACTAATCTTATATGGTCAATCCCTTTAAACAGCTCGAAAGAGTCTTTAGGTTCTTGTGGATTTCAGAATCCAGTGCTTTTATTACACTTTACAAATATTTCATTTGATTTAAATAGTTGGAATGATGGTTCCGAAGGCTGTGATTGTGCTAAGTTAAGTCAGGCAACCACTTTTGGGATATGTGGTAATAAATATCTTGAGGAATTTTCAGGATGTTAAATCAAAACTTTAAAAGAGGTTCAGGGTTTGTCAGCTTAAAGCTTAAGTATTAAAGTAAGTTTCACAGAATGGGCTTTATTCTTAATGTCTCTTAAAAAACAAGAATAGATAATATTCAAAAGGATGAAAAAATAAGAATAATATAGAAAGATTATAAATAGGGCCAATAATAAGAGCTTAATTTAAAACCATAAAAATTAGTACAATTAATTGAACTCCTTTAAAATATAATCATTGAGGGGCACCTGGATGGCTCAGTTAGTTAAGTACCCAACTCTTGGTTTCGGCTCAGGCCATGAAATTACAATTCATGAATTCAAGCCTCATGTTGGGCTGACAGTGGAGAAGCTGCTTGGGAGTCTCTCTCCCTTCTCCCTCTCTCTGCCCTTCCCCGGCTCTCTGTCTCTCTTTCAAAATAAATAAATAGACTTAAAAAAATTAAGTATAAA